ACTACTTCACCCAAACCTACAAATAGATGGATTAAACAGAAATACAACCACCTTTAAAATTATACAATTATTTAATCACCTCTAAATATCAATAAATATACACTCAAACTACCTAAAACCTTACACACTTCAATATCTATATACACCTATTGAGAAATTCTTAAAATCGCATAAACTATATATACAATTTAAAAAACAATTATGACATTATATAACAACTCTACATTACTAGATTGGCAGCATATATCTCCACGACTACAATATATTCCAAAGGGACTAAACCACTATGGTTTACTACATTTGAAACAGAATTAATTACTAATCAACAATCTAGAGAAATTGACCTTACTTTAAAACTACCCAAAACAAACTTTCTGTCCTTTACCACAGGCCACTTTAACAGAACAAAGCCCTGGCTAATTACTATCAACTTCAATACAGATAACATTATACTGGAAAAGTAAGAAGATATAACAAGACAGATGACACTATTTCAATTATACACTGGACATTAGAGTTTAACAACTCACACACTACTCTATATCCTTCACCTGAATATATCTATACACCATGTACAGGATGTTCTCTAAACTCTAAGCACATAAAAATAAATGTACATTAAATATCTCAGCTAACTCTGCAACCAAGTTTTTGGGCAAGAAAACCCAAACTAACTTATCAAACAAACTCAATCTTTATACTAACCTTATAGACCTACTCTACTCACTTGTAATACACAATCCAACTATAATACTACAACCACTACCCACTGTTTCCATTTCAAATAATGCAGTGCTTAATATATTCAATGACAACCAAGCTACTCATACCTTCCAACAGATTGCACAAAAGAATTTGTTATTAACACAACTAACATTCTATACAGATGGCTCAGTTAAAAACATATCAACAGAATACTGCAAGATGAGTATAGGATGGGTTCAAGTCTATAACGATACAATCTTATATGATTTCTCAGCTGAAATCCAACTTTGGCCATCTTCATACAAAGCTGAACTTATTGCAATCTTATCAGCAATAAGTACATGCCTAAGATCTATTAACATTACAATCTACACAGACTCTCAATCTATAATTTTTAAGTTTAACAAGTTAAACCAATTACTACCTACATCTAACAAGCTACAACTACTGGCCAATATGGTATACATTACTTAACTTTATTCAAATATATAATCTCAACATCAACTTCCATAAAGTAACAGCTTACAGTAACAATATATTTAACAACACTGCTGATACACTAGCTAGAAACTCAAACCAACTACACAGGCTTAACTTATCTCAAACAATACTTACAACCCATCATTCTGTTTGCAATACCAAAAATATATATTTGAACAACCTACCTATAGATTTATCAAAAACATTTGCAATGCTCACATTATAGCAATGTGGTCATTTCAACACTATATGAAAGATATTATACCTATATCTACACAGATCAACTGGAATGCAACATGGCTATATTTAAATAACAATAACAAAAGAACATTATTTTACACTAACTTCAAACTCTGTCAAGAAAAGACCTTTAGAATTAAACTAATGCTTGGTATATTACCTATCCTGCCACACCTCTACACACTATATCCAAATAAATTTCCAGATACAAATTGCATTATATGCAAAAATCATGAGGGACATACCCACTGGCTAACATGTGCAAGCTTACCAGATTTAAAGCTTACTATCAAAAATACTATACAAGAATTCTTTTACTCTTCAAAACTAGAAATTACAACTACACAACTCCATGATTTACACAACAAACTCAGCAATATCCACTGCCTATCACTTTAACAACAATCAAATGACATTAATCTATTTACCACAATAAAAGGATACATCTCAATACAACTAATCTAAACTATTTGAGAATTTACAGATAGTAATAAAACAGCTACCAATATCACAATCAAATTTTTACTGCAACTTATACAAAATATCTACAACTACCACTGAAAACCTTACTGTACAAAATTAGCAGAATAGAAACAACAAAACAACATACCTAAACGGTTTCTACAAAATCAACAAGCACCAAACAATCCTTCTAACCTTAACCCCCAACGTTTCAAAACAACATATATATATAATTGTATATGTGGCTTCTCTGACCAACAACATACAGGCGATAACTATGAAATTTGTTCTATACTTAGTAAAGTCATTAAAAAAATAGATAGCTGGATAACTGAATGGATTAAATTTAGTACACCTACTAATCATATCTTAAATTATTTAATCTAGATGAGTTTTAACTACTCTAGTAGGTTTAAATTGCAGATAAATTAGATTTAATAGTCTATAGTCTGAGTCTCATTCTTGTAAAAATTTGTAAATTGGCTCCGGCCTGTGATTCCCCTAGTGATTATCTAATACAAATAAATAAAGATAAAGGCAAAACCTCACCTTAAAAAAAAAAAATAAAATAAATCTTGAAGCTTCTAAGGTAAGTACTATTTGCATATTTCGATTAAATAAATATAAGATAAGATCACTTTTAACTTCTTCTCTTAGTAAAAAAAATTTTGGGAGATATATATATAATTTTGGTCAGATAGTTAATGCTGAGTGAAATTAAGATTAGAAATTGGTGTTGTTTAAGCCTGAAGCAAAATTTTGATAATACATTGTTAAAGTACAGTATCTTATAAAATTTCCTGATCATCATTCAAACTTAAAACATCTAGCAAAGGTTTCTCAACAACCACTTGATTAAATTCAATAAATTTTTTTTATTTTAATTTAACAGATATATAGAATTAAAATAAAAAATAGTTTGTTGAATTTGGTTTTATGGTTACCAAGAAATCTTTGAAAAGATTTTAAAAAATATCTTCAAATATCAAATTTTTTTCTTTCTAAACTTTAATCGAAGATTTCTCAATATCCATCCCAATTCAATAAAATCTTTTTATTTTAATTCTATGAATTTATCGAATTAAAAAAAAGAATCAATCGAATTCAATCAGGTAAGTGTTAAGTAATCTTTAGACCAGATTAATTTAATTTAGCAGTTTATATTACCTCCTTTTGACTCTCCCTCACTATATATGCAGAAAATTTTGTAAACCTTTTATTATATTATGGATTATTTTAAAAAAAATATAATAAACTCTCTCCAGCCCACCCTCCCTTTTGTGAAAGGATGTAATATAAACCACTGAATTAAAGTTAAAAATAAACTATGCTGCAGTCATTATTTTATAGATGTTTAAACTTTGAATTAAAATTACTCAATATTTACTTATCAATTTTGATGAAAATATTTCATTTTAATTCTATAAATTAATAGAATTAAATAAAAAAATTGATCAAATTTTATGAGATAAAAATCGAGTAATCTTCATTCAAAGTTTGGTATCTATAAAATAAAAACTGCGGCAAATTTCTTTATTAACTTTGAATAAAAAATATCTAATAAATAAATTTTTATCAAATTTAATTAGTTAAGTGCTAAGTATTTATAAAATAATATCTACAGTATAATTTTTTTTAACTTTGAAACTTCTAATGGAAAAAAAATTTTAATAAAATTTACTATGTATACATTTATCTTCTCCTTTAAAGAAGGAATGTAATATAAACCACCAATTCAAATTGGTCTTGCCCAAACTAAAAAAATTTTATAAGTAATGAATAATAAATAAAAATACTTGTATTATATCATAAGAAACATTTGTGAAACATAATATTTGAAATTGTTAATAAAAGAATTAACTATACTAAATAACTCATTAAAATCATAAACCTACCTACTGATAATATTATAAATCTACCCAAATCATTAAACTACATGCTATTGAAGACTATAAAAGAAATGCTAATCGAAACTAACCAAAATTGTTTTTCTACTCTAGTTTAAAAAAAAACAAATAGAGAATATGTTAATGTTTAAATAATTTTAACTCATTATACAAAACATTTAAATCCAAAAAAATTTATTCTGTTTAAATATAAGAATATAACTCTGGTTGAAATATAACCCAGTGGAATATAATCCATATATGATTAAAATGATTCTAAATCTGTGCAATTAGATAATATTTGAATTGCAAATTTGGTCAATATGTCATATAGCCAAATAACAATCTGGTTAAATTATAAATTTATTTAACTCAGACAATTATTTGGGCTGTTTTAATTAACAATCAAGACTAAAATTATTATTTTTTAGTCAAAATTGTATATTGATAGTCCAATTTATCAATTATCTAAATATTGTAACTTGTAACAACTAATCAAAAATGTTAAAATACATAGCTTCTTGTTTAAATTTCTCTCAGTCATAATAATTTAGTAATTATGTCATTATTGCATAGTTATAGCCTAATAATTCAGTAATTATATCATAATTGTATAGTGATAACCAATCACCTAAATATTGTATCTTGTAATGACCAATCAAAAAGTTAAAATATACAACTTCTTGTTGAAATTATAGATAATAAATCAAAACCATTGAAATGTACAAACCAAATTCTCATACACTGGTTACAGTATATAGCTAATTAAAAACATCAAAAAAAATTGATAATAAGAATTCAAAGCTTCTCTCCAAGCCATATCTAAAAGTAGCAGTAATCTGATATGGGCTAATAAATTAAATCTAGGTGCTACATAAAAAATGCACAGTTAATCCTCAATTTTGATTGGTTAATAGCAATGATCAAAAATTTAGGCCAAAATTACTAAAAATTTTACTAATGAAATCATAGCCATCCATTAAGTAAAAAATGTTCTTGGGCTAATTTTATCATTGTGTGGATCTACTTCTCTAAAAATTTTTATTTTAGGAATAAAAAAATTAAAAAGTTAATTTCAGCCAAAATTATGTAATGCGGGTCCAATCCGCATATTTTTTATGTGGTAGCTAGGTTTAATGAGTGAATAATTGATGATCTTATCTTGATTTAGTAAATTCATACAGGGTAGCTCAAAACTTCTCACAATATACCATTTTGTCGCTCTAGTTATATATAATTATACTCTATTAGACTACTAATTCTCTCCTTATCAAAACTTTCAGGTATGTTTGTTGGTTTATCTTCTTTCATATGATTTGTTCTTTTATGGTTCACTGTGCTCATCTCCTTTTTACCTTCTTCACCATCACCACGCTTTATCCTAACATCATTCTCAATATTCATTGCATTCTCAATTCTGTTATCATTACTATAATCAACCTTATGTATTCCATTTACACTTCTCAATTTTGCTGATTTTTGATAATGACTAGGCCTTTTCCATTTATTCTTTATGTTCATGAACCTTATACATCTTAAATCCCTTACTTCTGAATATTTTATGCACTTGTTTTCACTTTTAGCAGACTTTTGGCAATAATCAAATGACTTATGTTTTCTTATTTTGCTATCGATTCCATCAGGAACACCCATATTGAGGATTTTTGATAATGAATAAACGTTCTGTGTTCATTCTTTTTAGCATCAACTCCTGCATCTATCAGCTTATTTACTTCAACCCTTTTCCGATAAACTTCACATAGACAGATTCGAATTTCAATTCTCTTAAAACTGTCTTTCAAATCTCTCTCTCTTATAAAATATATACAAATTTCTATTATCCTTATAAGAAAATCCTTGAAAAAGACGTGTGAACTATTTTACAAGGAAAATTGGTAACTCCAATTTTGTATATGAATTCACTATTGCTTATATAGTATCATCACAAGCTCTTGAAATAGTGAAAAGGCAATCACTCATTGATTCGAGTTAAACAGTTTTTTAAACATTTTTTATTGTTTTATTAAAACATCGAAGCCTGGGAATTAAAATATTTACGGCATTATTTCTGCGAAGTGTATTTACTAGTGTTTTCCTTTCTTAAACCTTATGAGAACAATGACCTAAAAGGTTAGTATGTATGACACTCTTCTATTAGTGCAGTATTTATTCAAGATGCATCTGCTGATGCATCTTTCTTTCTGATCCAAGTTTATTATACTGTGAGTTTAAATATTTGTGAAAACTATTTTTGCAATGTGAATTTGTACAATGTTTTTTTTTTAAATTCAGAATTATGATAGTAAAGATCTAATGAAATTAGTATAGCAATCTTCTCTTTGGTGTGATATCTTTGCAAAATGTATTTGCTAAAGCTCTCTCTTTTTGATTCAGGTTTATTATGTTAGAAATTTGATTATTCTACAATATTATTTCTAGAGTAAATTCACTAGTGTTTTTCTTCTTTTAATTGAAGGTTGCAGATAGTATCTAATAAAGTTATTCTGGTATCTGTTTAGTATTTGCTAATGCAGTATTCCAATTTTAATCTATGATTATAATATTAAGGCCTAAAGAAGTTAGCATAGCAGTTTTGTAAGCATATTTGTTTGGTGCAATTTCTAGCAAAGTGCATCTATTACTACTCTCGTTCTTGTGATCTAAGACTTTTTTAAGAATAATCAAGTTTGAAGTTGTAGATATTCATTCTCACCTTGATGATTTCACATTTGCGGGGTTTTTCAATAAATTAAGACAATTATGAGTCATTACAAGCACTTTCTCATGATTGGTAGATTACATAAAATTGAATATCATTTTATGATTAGTCATATGCACAAACATGTGACAATTAGCCAATAAAATTATACTTGTGAAGTTAGCTCTATCTGCTATTATATTATAATAAAAGAATGAAAAGAATCAAAGATATTTTCTTAAACATACAAGTTTTTCTAAAAGCCTATTTCATTTATTATATTAACGTAATATGCGATCTAAAATCTATAGTCTACTGTATTATAATTAAAGCTTATTGTGAAAAAATCCATTAAACCATATAAAGTTCGTTGTAATTTCTAAAATTTTTAACTGTTTTTATTTCTTACTTATTACATATTAAAAGCCCTGTATACTATATTCTAAAACAGAATGTATGTGGCTTAGCAGAGTGTTTTATCTATTCTTAAAAAGGAAGTTTGTTTTGTTAGTTTTTTTTATTAAGTCAAATACATTTGACCATTTAGTAATTACATATAATTCTTGTTATAATATATGTAGAAATTTTACCTTCTAAGCAAAATACCTCTAGATTGTGGATCTTTTTAGATTATTTTGTATAGTAACTGTTGAAGCTTCACTGAAGGTAGAGACGGTCTTAATTTTCATTTTTTACTTGTGAAATGTTACATTTTTAAAA